ACCATATAATTAACAACTTTTTTACATCTCTGACTGTATTCTCGTGTGGTTTTATAATAAGTACATATAATGAGTCGTATATTGATTGATACACATTATTTACATCTTATTGAAGCAACATATATTCGTACTTAATATTTGGAAATGCATATACCGAATCAAAAGCAACCACTGTAGATCTACGTAAAATAGAAAGTTCTTTTAAATATATAAGAATACTTTTATAATATTCAGTTTTCTTAATATTAGAATGTATGGAAGATTGTGAAAAGATTCCAAATATTGTCATCATCTAGATAATGATCAGTGACATTTTTTAATAAAGTTTGATACTGTTCACAGTAGGGTTATCTCAGAAATTTCACTCTTGAAAACTCTCGGCATTCTAAATCTAGGAGTGCATCCTTTAAAGAAGTTGAGCCTTGTTTCCTCCGTCTAGTTGTCACTGTTGATAACCGTTTCCAAAAAGATTTTTGATTCTATCACTGTTAAGTATGTTTCAAATTTTTTGTTGTAATAACTTTTTATCTTTATGTAGACTCCCTTTTCAATAGTTTCCTTAATTTAATTTATTGCTGCGCAAATGAAGTATGGAGAATATCTAACATACATCTTTTGGTTTTGATCAGTTTACATTTGATGTAAAATTGAAGCTTACTGGGTCGATTTTGATAACTGAACATGTGTATCTTCACGCTTTTAACGCGAAGTAGCAATGTTTTCTAAAGTTCTAATGATGTCCAATATTAAAAGTATTTCTTTTTAACCTGAAATATCATATTATTGATCCCAATCATTAAGCTATCCGTAACTTTGGTGAAAGTGAACCGACGATCTGCTTTAACTGATTTAGTTTCCTTCTTCCAATTTCGAGCGTGTTTATAGCAAATAAAATTTGTTATTAGTAATTATATTGACTACCCTTAAAAATTCTTTGAATCCCACAAAGTCGACCCAAAGTCTCAAACGTAAGAAATTCGTAGCCAGTCCCGAAGACTTAATTGGCGCCTGACTCAAAGTACATACGCCAACGCTACCTATGTTTTAAACAAAAATAATAATAAATATAAATTCACCTGCCTATACTGATCAATTAACATCTTCGCGTTCACGCCTTGGACCTTTTTGG